GAAACGATTTGACTTATGCATACTCTAGGATCCAGATACAGCCTGGAGGAATTCATTCCCAAATTCATGACCAGACTTGCCCATGAATGTTCGGGGAGGCATTATTCATAACACCTGGAAACTGGAAAAAAAAAATCCAAATGCCAATCAAGAGCAGAATGGACTAAAGTGTGGTATGTGCACATAATGGATCACTGTGTACTGGTGAAAGTGAGCAAATATACATAAACACGGATGAGCTTCCAAAATAAAGCAGTGAGCATGTATAACTGTGATGCTCTCATTAGAAGAATAAAATCGTGAGCAAAGGAAGTCATAGAAGAATATCTATGGTACGATTACACTTACACCTCAAATGGTCAGAAAGAGTTAAATAGCACACTACTTAAAAAAAAATGTCTGCATATGTGATAAAACTATAGAAGGCAGAAAAATTATTATTGCAAAAGTTAAGATAGAGGTAGCTACTAGGGAGGGTAAAGAGAGATGCTATCGGAGGACTTCAAAGGTCATGGGTGGTTTTAACAATTCTTTGGGCTGTACATAGAGACTTTGCACATATTTTATGAAGGAGGCATCTCATTTAAAAAGCTTTTCCAAGGGGGCTGGGGCTGTAGCTCAGTGGTAGAGTGCTTGCCTGGCATGTGTGAGGCACTGGGTTCGATTCTCAGCACCACATATAAATAAATAAAATCAAGGTCCATCAACAACTAAAAAATATTAAAAACAAACATGAAATAAAAAGCTTTTTCAAAAGCAATTTGTTTTAGATCCAATTACCAGTTTACAGAAAATACAAAGGACAGATGAATGTATTCGATTATACCAAGAGTAAGTAATCTGCAAAATTCCAACTTTTGGAAAACCTGGAGGACAAACAATTGTGTTTCTGTAACACAAAATTTCAAGGGGAAAAATAAAACAAAAAGAAGAAGAAACCAATAAATTACAAAAATATTTAAAATACATGTTAGCAAATCGCCATGAATAGCGATTTGTTCAAATACTCAGACTCAGATTATCATATGACAATTGCCAGGGGGTAATTGACTGGTTATTTCATGATAAGTATTTACTCTTGGTTAGGGGTGGTCGTGATGGTATAGCTATGTTTAAAAAGGGTTCCTTGAGGCTGAGGGTGTAGCTCAGTAGTAGACAACGTTTCTAGCAGGTACACAGTCCTGGGTTTGATTTCCCAGCCCTAAAGACATTTAAAAAAACAATTAAAAAGGGTCCTTTTCTTTTAGAGATAGTCAGTAAAAATAAAATAAAATAAAATAAAAATTATATATGAAATTATAGCATGTCCAATATTTGATTCAAAATAATCCTGGGAGGGAGGGATGATATAGAGAAAACAAGATAGACTATAAGTTGAAAATTATTGAAGCTAATGATGTCATACTAGGCTTCATTAAGCTCTATTTGTATATGTTTGAAATTTTGCATAATAAAAAAATAAAGACCAGGAACCTGGGAGATTGGGCTTTGCCATATCAAGATCTGTTTGGAAAGGGAGGGGGAAGAAGTGAGCATGATATTTGGGGGTTGATTATCTCCTTATTTTGCCCAGAAAAGCTTCATAAAACAATGTAGATGCATATTTTTCAAAATTTAGTGTGCATATAAATCACCCAGGGTGTTATTTAAAGTGCAGACTTGGGCCGGGCATAGTGGCACATGCCTGTAATTCCAGCGGTTCTGGAGGCTGAGATAGGAGGATCACGAGTTCAAAGCCAACCTCAGCAAAATCGAGGTGCTCAGCAACTCAGTGAGACCCTGTCTCTAAATAAAATACAAAACAGGGCTGGGGATGGGGCTCAATGGTCCAGTGCCCCTGAGTTCAATCCCTGATACCAAAATAATAATAATAATAATAATAATAATAATAATAAGAAGAAGAAGAAGAAGAAGAAGAAAATTTGGATTCAGAAGTAAGTTCTGGGGCAGGGGCCTATTGTCTGCATTTCTACCTTCAAGGATGAAGTTCTTTCCCTGCAGTCTAACCCAGATTCCCCTGAGCACACCCTCCACCTATTCTTCCATTCCCACTCTGGTCCAGTCGGGAGTCTGTGGCTCACCTTTCCAATCCCTCTTTTTTACCACCCTTTACATACATTGCCATCTTCTCTATGGAATTTTACTCGAAAAGCACCTGCTATCCTCAGATGCTTCAGCCCAAGCCCTTCGCTGGGGAAAGCGACACCATTTGGAGTGCAGGCTCTGCTCCCAAGAAGCCCCCGGCTCTGCCCGGCAACCCTGCCCCTTGCTGCATCTGTCCTCCTTTCCCTCTCTCCGGGATGATCACTGAGCTCACGAGGGTCGATCAGTCTTCATCCTGAAACACGCCCACTCCTGGCTTGGCTACACTGTTTGGTTTCCCTCCTTCTCTTTTGGTCTCCTTTATCTGGGTGTCTCCTTCATCTAATTTTTAAATGTCGGGGCAGCCTGGGGTTCCAGATTAGCCTCTCTTTGGTTTCTCTCCTTATCTTTACACTCCAAGTGATCCTAACTCATCTTCCAAGTTTACATATCTTGTCTCAGTCTCTGAGCCCATTTCCCATTGTCTATCGCCTGTCTTGTTAGCAATCTCCCAGGAAAGGCAAATATACTGGGTCCCATCTGGAAGGCGTGATTTCCTCCTGTCTTCTTGACCTCGAAAGTCAAATCTTCCTCTCTTTCAATGTGGGGATCTCCTATAATAAGTCTTTCCCTTCAGCTCCTGTACCTAATCCATTAGCAAGATTTTTTTGTTTTGACTTCTTAAACATTTTATTAACCTGCCCATTTCCTGTCTGTTACCATGGCAATTACACTAAATTAAACTGGCTCCTGTTTATTTCTCAAAACAACCACATACTTCTTTGCCCCAGGGCCTTTGTACATGCTATTGCCTTGCTTAGAAAATTTCAGCACACTGAATTCCGTATGGCCCAAATTTCATCAAAGAGTAACAATCTCAAAGGTCTTCCTGAACTCCAAAACCTTCCCAAATAATCCCGTGAGAAAAGGAGACCTTACTATACCACATCCACCCTATTCTAGACACTCCTTTGATCTGCATCCAAATCAAATGCTCAAACCTCTGCTGTTGTAAGTCAGCTACACAACCAGGGATAAGTACGTCTCTACTCACAAAACTGGCTCCAAATTTCCTGTTGGCTTTCAGTCCCCCCCCCAATATTAGAGGGACACAGATTCCAGCTTATTTTTTTGAAGTCATGTAGTAACTTTGGGGGAAAATAGACACAATATTTTGTACCAAGAGGTACGTTTCTCCATGAGTGAGTATGGGCTTGAGGTTGTAGCTTATCTTGGCCAACAGGGCAAAAGTGACACAATCCAAATAGATGTCTGAAAAGCATGTGTGCTGGGGTTTCCCCTCTCTTGCTGCTTTTGGAACCCAGCTGTCCCATGAATCAGGCTGGACCAGCCCACTAGACATAGAGATGCGCGGCCCCCTTCATTTTAGCTGCCCCTGCCAATCATCAGACACCTATGCAGGACCATCCTGAGAACAGCTCTCAAACAGCCCATCAGCCGACTCGAAAGAATGGGACTTCCCAGATGATCCCAGTGGCAATTGCCAGCTTGCAGAATAGGAGCCATGCCGAAGTGGATTTAAGCCTCTACCTTTGAAGCAGAGTGTAACGTAACACAAATAGACACTCTTTTTTTTTTTTTTTTTAGTGCCAGGGATTGAACCCAGGGTCATTTAACCACTGAGCTACATACTCAGCCCTTTTAAATTTTTATTTAGTTACCAGGTCTCACTGAGTTGCTCAGAGCCTCACTGAGTTGCTGAGGCTGGCCTCAAACTTGCAATCCTCCTGCCTCAGCCTTCCAAGCTGCTGAGATTATAGGTGCGCACCACTGTGCCTAGCATAGACACAATTCTTAAAAGAATCCTTTTCATGCTGCAAACCCAGTTATGCTGCTTCCCTGTTTAAAGTGCTTTTGTTGATTCTGGGATGAAACTAAAGTCACCGAGCAAGGCCGACAGAGTCCCACGCAATCTGGAATGCCTGCCTGGCTTGGACCCCCTTGCACCCTTGCCCAGCCCACCACCATCCTCGCTTCCAAGGCATCCCAGGCTCCAGGCCTTCCCCCATGCCCTTCCCTCAGTCTGGAAAGCTCTTTCTGACTCTTCACCTGCTCTCTCAGATCCCAACTTACACATCACATCACCAGAGAGGTCTTCCTCTTGCATCTCTTGGTCTCCCCCAGCTGAACTCTGCCTTCTGTGATGCATTCCCCTGGTACCCTATAGTTTTCCTCCTTAGCAAATATCCCGGTTTGAAACCTGTTGTCTCATAGGACATGTTGAATAGTTGTCACTCCCAGTGATTGCAGAACAGATGTCCCTGTTTTGTTCACCAGTGTAGCCCCAAAATCTGCACAGTAGCTGCCCTGTACGAACTGTTGATGGCTATTCCGCGGGAAAGACTGCCATGGTGGCTAACTGTGAAGGCTCTGGGTCCAAATCCGACCTCTGTTGCTGATTGGCTGAGTGACCTTAGTGAACTAACTGCTCTGTGCCTCAGTTTCCCCATCTCTAAAAATAAGGCTAAACATAGCACCCTCCCCTTGAGCTATGGACGGACAGATGTTGGCATGCCCGGATAACAGTGAACCAGCAGCTTTGGGCCTGGTCCTCATCCCCTGTGCCTGTGGCTACAGACCAGCCATGACTGAATTTACATGCGGCTTGCCCATGGCTAGTTTCCCGGCCAGTGCTCTGCCTCCTTCTGCACAGGTGTGGCCTGCGACACCTGAACGTCCCCTGAGCACCCAGCTCTGGAGTTCAGCTGCTGCCTTTGGGCCTGTTTTTCCTACAGAGAGTCAAACGTGTGGTGTCAGAGATCCTCCTCTCTGGGCTGTCACTGTGTGTCCTGTCACTGGGGGAGCCCCTAGCTGCGCTGGCCTCGGGAGCCCACAGACAACCTCCTGGGAGACAGCACGGATGGTCACAAGCAATGCGCTCAGGTCCCTTAAGCACCGGCGACAGGAAGTGGGCAATCCACCTGGTCTTGGTGAAGACAATAATTTTGAAGGGACAGTTAGTACATTTCCAATCATCAAGTCATTTAATGGACGAAGCTGGTCCCTTTCTTTATGGATAGAAAGAACAACAACAACAAAAACAAACCTAGGCATCTAATTGTTTTTTTCTTTTTTTGGAAAGCGGGGTGAGAGGGACTCCCAAGAAAACCCCTGGGGAGGCAGCGAGTGGGGTGAGTGGAAAGGAGATCGGAGGGGTGCAGAGGGCGGAGGTGAGAGGTGGACTCCGGGAGGCCGAGAGCGGCACAGGCTGGGGACCGAGGGCGAGCGGCAGGCTCTCCTGCGCCCCAGCGGGACAGCGCGGCGCCCGCCGCTGCTCCCCGGGACCTCGGTGGCTGGGCAGGGCCGCGGGCTGCGGCGGGCGCTGCCTTCCAACGTGCCCGGGGACGTCCCCGGTGCCAGCCGATGAGGCAGCGGAGGACGGCTTCCCGGATAATCGCCCCAACTTACCAGGCGCGGAGTCCGCGGCTGCAAAAGGACGGGCGGGCGCCGGGGCCAGCGAGGGCCCGGCCTCCAGGTGCCCGGCGCGCACAGGTTAGTGGCCGCACGGCGACGGGCTGCCCATTCGGTCAGGCACCAGCGCAAAGGCAGGGAGAGCCAGACCAAAAGGCAAAGGAGAGGAGGGACCTGCTTGTGTTTTTGTATTTAAATTGTTTTCGAGCCCACGTAGCCCCGGGAGTCACATGCCGCCTCCAACATCACCGGAGCCATCACATGATACAGGTCCCCCATCATGTGATGCGACGATTCGGCCTAACTTCAGTCCCCAACCCCCACCCCTGCTCCCAGACTGACAGATAAAAGTGCCCAAATCAGTGACAGGGAGGGACGCAGATGGAAGATCCTCAGAGTCCCCGCGACGCGACGCTAAGATCTTGATGAATAGTTAATACGCCTCCCTCTCTCCTCCTCAGCTACTGCCACTTGGAGCGGTGCCAGCCTCATTTGAATCCCAGCCTTTGTGAATAACTCAAGTGTCGCCACCGTTGCTCCAGCAATCGTAGGGCGTCTGGGCTCACACCACCCTGCCTCGCCCCAGGGAGCCCAAGGGGGCTGCCTCCCTCCCCGCAGCCTCCAAGCTTCGCAGGGCGGTGGGGAGGCTGCCCTGGCTGAACCTTCTAGAAGGCCTGCCCCCACCCCGCAGCCGGAAAAAAAAAAAATTGACAAACTGGAGATGTCAGAGTGGAAGGAAGGGACCCGGTCTGGCTTTCAGCCTACGCTGTCCCCTTTCTACCTGGGGATCTATCTGGAGCCCTGGCTGTGTGCAGAGGCGACTCTGGTGTGCACGCGCATCTTCTCCCTTCATCAGGAGACAATTAAATGGGTTTGGTTTAAACGTCTGCTAGGTGTGTCCTCCCGCTGGGGGGCCTCGCTTCCTCACTCAGGCCTTCTATTAGACGTTTTGGTAGAGCGCCTCCTGTGCTGCAGGTCCTGTGCTGGGCACGCAAAGAGCCCAGAGGGAGGGGGAGACGTTGTAGCAACGCAGACAGCCAGCCTCTGCCTCGAGGTGCAACTTGTCTACTCGAGGAACGAGGAACGGGTGCAAACAGATGGGACAGATGCAAATTTCACCTTCACACACACTCGGGTATGCAAAACGGTAAGTCCTCCGTTTGTCCACACCCAAACTTCTGTCTCCGCCCCCATTATGCTCAAGATAGGAAAATCAATCTAATCATCTCCAAATAAATTCAACTGGGTGAATTTTTCTTTGCTTCAGATTTACAATAAGTCAAATGAGTGCTTTTTCTCAAGTCACTCTCCTCCCTAGGATTGACAGTCAGCTCTGATGCTCAAACACCAGACATTGTGCTCATTGTGTGGAATGCTTTCTTTAGGAGAGAGTGTGATTTGCTGTTGCTTTACTATTTGGGCCTTGTTGAAGCAGAGGAGGATGATATTTAAGACCAACTGGGCAGCCGAGTTAAATGCCCCTCAGAGGAAGAGGCCTGCTCCAAACCACAAGTTTTGATCTCTTAGGTTCTATCCAGTGAGAGCCGACAAGGGGTCTGTGGCAGGCGTAGTACAGGTTAAAATTTCCCATGGACAGAGAAAGTTCCAGGTAGAAATGAGGTCTGGGTGGACAGAGGACTTGGCGTTATACACCTGAGTTTGTGTGACCATGAACTTTGCATTTCTGTTGCCTCCCCCACAAAATGTGTGCCTCAGACAGGAATCTTGTGCACATTCCTGTTGGCGAGGCGTAGTGCTTTGTCTGCTGAGCCCCACTTCTGCTCCAACAGCTGGAGAGGACTCCCTTCTCCCCTACAAGTACTCCTCCAGGAATAGGAACAGGAGTGTAGAGGGGTGAAAAGAGTCATCTGTGTGGAAATTCTGGATCCTCCAGAGGCCTGTGAGAAGAAATGCTCTTCTTCTTGCCACCTTTTGTACTTTGATGCAGTTATAGGAGAGAACCATTATGTGAGGAGGTTTAAAAAAAAAAACATTGACAAACTGGAGATGTCAGAGTGGAAGGAAGGGCAAAAAGTTTCTTGATGGAACTGATTTGGCAAACGGACTCTGGGACTGTCTGTCTTAGACAAATCAAGGATCTTCATGGTTTGAACCACCTTTAGTAAAGTATTTTATTATTATTCCAACTGAAACCGCATCTGGGGGATTTGACAGTTGTCTCCCGGTCGTCAGTGGTGTTTGAAAAAGAGAGAAGTTGTGGAGATGCAAGTCTGATGCAAGATTAAGAAGTAAATGGGAAAATTCTGTTTCTGGCAATATGGAGGACCAAATATGGAGGACCAGATAGTCTCAGAGAAATTCTGGAAAATGTAACAACATTCTTGTAAGTGCATAACTGAGCTCATTTAGAAAGAAGAAAAAACAGTCAGAGCTAATCTACCTTGGGGACTGCTGTCACTAGGAACATGGTAGCCTTGGTAGAATGGGCTGTAACTCCAACCAGATATAAAACTTAAATAAAGTCTTGTATTGAGAGCCGAACCTTCCATGGCTACTTAAGAACCTTGAAGCTGTATATCCTTGGTGAAAAGGTGTGTGTCATAGCTAATTTTATGCTCCAACTTGAGCTCCCATGGGGTGCCCAGATTAAACATTATCTCAAGGGGTGTCTCTAAGGGTGTTTCTGGTTGAGATTTAGCTTTTAAATTGTTACATTACAATTATACACAAGTTGGATATATTTGTGCATAAACGTAATTTGGTCAATTTCATTTAATTGGTAGACTCTGCAAAGCACCTTGCCCTCCCCACAGTCCTTCACCCAGTCCTTTGAGGGCCTGAGAGAACACAAGGTGGAGGGAGGAGTTCTTCCCTCTGGCTTTCTGCCTGCTTGAACGGGAGAGCTCATCGCAGCTCCTCCAGCCTCAGAATGAGATCCACACATCGCCTCCCCTGGCTCTTAGGCCTTCAAACTCATACTGACTCATGACAGGGGTCTGCCTGGGCCCGCAGCTTGGGGCAGCAGACGGGCTTCCCAGCTCCCGCAATGGCATGAACTGGTGCCTCATAATACATCCATCTTTGCCACTGCGTCAGTTTCTTTGGAGAACACCGATAAATACATGTGCAACAGGGAAAAAGTCCACTTTTAAGCCCAGAAAAACACTGAAGCTTATATGTGTTGACCTGAATTCTGGGTCAAGGAAAAAAATTCTTCAATGATAATTAATCACTTGAACATACACTACTTTTACAACCCAGTAATAACCCCCCACCAAAAAAAAAAAAAATCAAATCTCAGGCAAACATAAAACTGATCTTAAGGTTAAATTCCTTAAATCCAGGTTTCACAGAATTCTCACTGTTCAAGTGCCCACAGCAATGAGTTTAGAATCCCAATTATAAAAGTCATAAATTATAAAATGTTAGTAGATCAAGACAGCAGCTCACTAAGTTATGCAGGCTAGCCTTGAACTTGCAATCTTACTGCCTCAGCCTCCCCAGTAGCTGAGATTACAGGTACTGCACTCAGCTTCAATAATTTATACCTATTAAGAAAATTAAATATGGCCAGGCATAGTGGTGCATGTCTATAATCAGCAACTCAGGAGGCTGAGACAGGAGAATCATGAGTTCAAACCCAGCCTCAGCAAAAGCAAGGCAACTCAGTGAGACCCTAAATAAATAAAATACAAAATAGGGCTGTGGATGTGGCTTAGTGGTCAAGTGCCCCTGAATTCAATCCTTGGTATCCTCCCCAAAAAATAAAATATGAGCTGGGTACAGTGGCCCATGCCTGTAATCCCAGTGACTGGGGAGGTTGAGACAGGAGGATTGTAAATTCAAAGCCAGCCACAGCAACTTAGTGAGGCCCTAAGCATCTTAGCAATTTTATTTTGAGACTTTGTCTCAAAATAAAAATTTAAAAAGGGCTGGGGTTTTAGCTCAGTGGTTAAGTGCCACTGGATTCAATCCCTGGTACCAAAAATAAATGAATAAAAAATCAAATGTGGCTAAAAAAATCTTTCTTCTGCTGGAGATTAAACCTCGGGCCTGATGCATGCTAGGTAAGAACTCTACCACTGAGCATATCCCAGCCCACCTGAAATCTTTTCAACAAAGGAAACTCCAGAGCCAAATGACTTCACAGAGGAATCTGACCAAATTCTTAAGAAATAATTCCAATTCTACACAAGCTTTTCCAAACAATTAAAGAAATAAGAATATTTCTCAACTTATTGAGGCCAGTATTATTCTGACATGAAATCCAGATAAAGACAGTCCAAGGAATGTAACTACAAATCAATATCCCTATTGAACTTTGAAAAAAAAATCATTAATTCAATTTTAGCAAATTAAATTTAACAGTACATGAAGAGGCTATCACATAACGACCAAGTGGGATTTACCCCCAGCAAAAGAGGGTTGGTTTCACATTCAATTAATCTATGCAATAACAAACTAGAAAAAGAAAAACCACTGAAAAATGCTTTTTTATTTTGCAAGACCAATATCCATTTTGGATAATTATTCTCAGCAAACTAGGAGTAGAAGGGAACTTCTTCAACCTGATAAAGGGCATTTATTTTAAAAATTTACAGCCAACAGCACACAAATGGTGCAAGACTGAACACTTTTCTCTTTAAGTCAGGAGTGTGGTCAGGACGCCTGCTCGGCCACGGCTGCTAAACAGCACGCAGGTCCTGGTGAGGACTGATAGGCAGAGAAAAGAACAGACACACATAAAAGGCCTCCAGGTCAGAAGACATAAAACTGTCTTAATTTGTAGGTAACATGACAATTTAAACAGAAAGTCCCAGGGAAAAAGATAATAACTCACATAAAAAGTTAATATGTGAGTTTGGTGAGGTTTCATAGAGCAGGAACGACTTCTAGAATGTATGGTACCTGCCCATGCTAGTGACCACGGGAAATAAAAACATTAATAAACAGCACTTGGAAAGGACGTGAGCATAAATCTGGTGAAAAATGTCAGTGACTTTTACTCTGAAAACTATAAAACACTGTTGAGAGATTAAAGACAAAACAAAAATGAAACAGGCCCGGGTGTGCAGGTGGGGAAGCTCAGGGTTAAGATGTCAGTTCTTCCCTGAGCTCCTATGTTGACTCAGTGCAATACCTTAGTTGGCTTTCTTTTTATTTATTTAAAATATTTTTTGTTGTTGATGTACCTTTATTTATTTATTTATTTATATGTGGTGCTGAGGATCGAACTCAGTGCCTCACACATGCCAGGCTAGTGCTCTACCACTGAGTCACAACCCTAGCCTTCTTTTTAATTGGAAAGTTGAGTACACAAATGTTTAACAGCAGCATTATTCACAATGACCCAAAGGTAGAAATAACCCACCTGCTGTCCATCAACAGATGAATGGATAAACAAAATGTGTCCCCCACTCGCACACATTTAGCCTTAAAAAAAGACGAAATTCTGGCATATGCTATAACATAGATGAAACTTAAAGATATTATTCAATGTGAAATAAGCCAGTCATAAAGACACAAATATTGGGGCTGGGGATGTGGCTCAAGCGGTAGCGCGCTCGCCTGGCATGCGTGCGGCCCGGGTTCGATCCTAAGCACCACATACCAACAAAGATGTTGTGTCCGCCGAGAACTAAAAAATAAATATTAAAAATTCTCTCTATCTCTCTCTCTCCTCTCTCTCTCTTTAATAAATAAATAAATAAATAAATAAATAAAAAGAAAGAAAAAAAAAGACACAAATATTTATGATTCCACTCACATGAGGTACCTACAGTAGTCAAATTCAGAGACAGAAAACAGAAGGGTGGTTGCCAGGAGCTAGGAGCTAGGGATGACAGGATGTGTTATTTCATCAGTACAGAGTTCCAGTTTGGGATGAAGAGCAAAGTTGTAGAGACAGATGATGGTGATGCCTGTCTATCAGTGAGAATGAACTCGACGCTATGAACAATGTCTCTAAAAATAATTTAAATGCCAAATTTTATGTTACTTCTATTTTACTACAATAGAAAAATTTTGAAAAATTGATTATAAAATTCACAGAAATGCAAGGGTATACAGTAGCAGGGAAGAAACCTTAATAAATATGTCAAAGGATAAAGCTATAGTAATCAAGAGAATGTGATATTGGTGTAAAGACAGATGCAAAATAAGTGGAACAGGATATAAAGCACACAATGTGGTCAGCTGATTTCCAACAATAAAAAACAACAATTCAGTGGGGAAAGTAGTCTTTTTAACAAATGTATTAACTTGGCTAATGTACATATGCCAAAAAAGAACTTTGATCCATACTTGCATTATACAAAAGAATTAACTCAAAATGGATCAAAGGCACTTCCGAACTCATTTTATGAGATCAGTATTGTTCTGGTATCAAAAGCAGACAAAGACACTAAAAGAAAACCATAGACTAGTATCCCTTATAAATTAAAAAGTCCTAAATAAAACATTAGCAAACTGCATCTTGTAATACACAAAAAGGAATTATACACCATGACCAAGTGGGATTTATCCCAGGAATGTAGAGTTGGATTGACATATGAAAATAAATCAATGCAATACACTATGTTAACAAGATAAAGATGAAACCCAACTCAATAGATGCAGAAAAAGCTTTTGACCCAATTCAATGCCTGCTCATGATAAAAATTCTAAACAAACTAGGAATAAAAGGAAGCTTCCTTGACATGATAAAAATAATTTATAACAATGTAGCACTGCTTAATCATGAAAAACCAAAGGCATTTCACCTACAATCAGGAAGAAGAAAACAACTCTTGCTTTTGCCACTTCTATTCAACACTGCATTGGGGGGTTCTGGCCAGAAAAATTGGGCAGTTTTTTTTTTTTAAAGGTATCCAGTTTGGAAAGGAGAATATTCCCAGATGATGTGACCATATTACAGAAACCCCAATAAATCCTCAGAAACCATCAGACAGTAAGAAAGTTCAACAAGGCTGTAGAATGCAAGGTCAACATATAAAAATCCATTATTTTTATTTAATAAAGAAAGCCCTTAAATTTATAATAGAATTAAAAGAATAAAATACTTGGTTTAGGCAAAGATGTGTAAAACTTGTACAATGAAATGAATAAAACTTGTACAAAGATGTGTATAACTTGTATCTAGCTGAGATCATAAGAATAATTTAACTAAATGCCCATTTCTAAGAGAGGATACTTTGTATAATAAAAAATACCAAATTTAGTGAATATTACAAACTTTAAATCTAGTCTGAGTTCCTTTTGTAGCTGGATGATGTTAAATTTTTAACTCCCACAGCTTCATTTAAGAGTTTATAAATTATATTAGTATGAAGTTCAGGAAGGAATGTTGTGTGTAAGAAGTATCAGGTAAGTAGCATTTCTGAAATAATTAATACACTTGGCTTTCTTATCTTAAATCATGTCCCCTGAGACATGATAGTTACATATAGAGAACAGTTTTCTTCTCTCTACACATAAATACCACCAATAAAACTGCTTTTTAAAGGCCCTGAACTAGTACTTAAGTGGCATATATTCTATATCACTCCACAGTTTCAAATAAATTAGAGTAGTTGAACCATGTATGTAATATGGATGTGAAGATCATATACTTAGCCTAATGTTCATGCCATTTATATATCTTTATTGTCTTCTCATGTTCTA